TGAAAGCTAACCGCAGTTGGAAGGTGGAGTTAGCCCAAGAATGGGATCTGGAGGACCACCGGAAAGAAAGCAATATTACTTAAGAACGTCTTGCTAAACGCGTTGAAGACAGCAGTGGAGAAGGATCCGGAACTGCTTTTCTTCTCGAGGGATGAACGAAAGCGTTTACAAAGGATTCGAAAGGACTGCAGAAAAGGATTTTAGCAAAGCCCGAAAAAAAACAGAATATTGGAGGAAATGTTAACAATATAGTTAGATAGTTATTACTAGTGTATATAATACTATAATATATATATATATATATATACGCACGGTGGGTCGCGTACCTTTAGCACGTCCTGCAGTTTTTGAACGGTTGAAGTTACTGCAATACAATTCTCACGGAAGTACAGGAGGGAAAGGGGCTAATTTATTCGTGTATTCTTTTCTATTATATCACTTGTTTTTTACGGGATATTGAGGTAACTTTATTTTGTATTAAATGGAACTATTCATATTTTAGTGTGTCATGATGAGCGTAAATAGACAAATCTAATGTTATACATATTGAAATATACTAGATGAACTTTTTTTTTCTTTTTTTTTTCTTTTAGTGATTTTGATTGTTTGTGCTCAGCGTTCCTTGTCCAAGCGGACTGTTTATTCAAAATATCCGTTAAACCCAAGTCGCAAAAAATCAGAATACACACACGCACACACATACATACATGTATACAAACATACGTACATAATGTGTGTGTCAGCCATTCCATATAAAAGAGAAATATGTGTAAAAAAATTAAATTTGTAAAGAAGCTTACGTTTATTAGGTATACATCATCTCTAAGGTTCAAATTTTATTATTTATACAAGAAAAGCCATTAAATATTTGTTCTAAGATGAATTTATTGCTCGTAGATCCTTATCATGACCATTTAACTGTTTAATGCTCCAAAAGAGAATTGAGATTGTAGATTAATACATTGGCTTCGGTTATCTTTATTTTTTAATGGTAAGTAACTAATATTTATATAATTATATTTTTAGAGTTATGACATTCAGTGTAACGTCCCTAACAAAAATTGTTGAAATTTATTTTCTTACATAATGTAAAAGTGTACTTGTTTTCGAATGTTCTTTAAGCTGACATTCTGGTGACAAGGCTTCTATTAATATGATTTAATGTTTATTTTGATTAAGAGTTTTTAAATATTAGTGTGTTACGGATGTTACATTTTATTCAACTTTTTAAAACTACTTAATAGTTATTTTGATAAGATTCATATGTTTTTAGGATGTATTGTATAATGATTTCATAGACTTTTAATATGTATCAATTATATTTAATTATTAATAATGTTAACTATCCATTATTGATAATACTATTAATTATTCATTTTTCCGAAAGAATAAATCATTTTTAGGGTGTATCTCAAATCATATCTTAAATGTACATCTTGTCCTCCCCTCTTAAAATGTTACTAGTATGTATGTAAATTCAGTGGTTAGGCGGAAAAGCAGTCCTCATGGCCTGAACCTCGCCAATAATAAAATTATTATTATTATTATTATTATTATTATTATTATTATTATTATTATTATTATTATCATCATCATCATCATTTTATTTTATTCAGTCGTGGTTTTCTAATTCATAATATATGCCATTGATCAAAGAAATGGAAATTATACCATTAATTTCTGTTTCTGGAGGAAGGGCACCTACATCTTCAGTTGCAAAAGTTGCTAAATACAGGTAATAGTTGAAGAACGAAAATCCAGAAAAGTTGAATGAATTCCTTGAGAAAAAATAAGAATAGAAATTTATTGAAAAGGCAAGATGATAAAAACTGCACAGATGAAAAGATGCTAGAACAGAAAAGATAAATAACAAGAATAAGAATTGTCGTAAAAAGTAATCTCTGAAAAAGAATGAACAAAACAAAACGAAAACTCCTGATAAATACTAGGTTTTTATGCGTGAACAAGTTCTCTTGAAAGCAGTATGTAAAACAAGAAATAGCCCACGAAAGAAAAAAGTACTTCGTCAGCTTGTGAGTAATCGTGGAACTGTTGATTTGTATTAATAAAAAAATGAAGATGTCGCTTGGTTCCCGAAGGTGTTGATGTCAGAGGGTTCTTTAAATCAGAGGAAGTAAGCTTGCAAGCACCAGGTAAAAGAAATTAATTTTGTTAAAAAAATCAAAAACCGGACAGAAAGTTCGAATGCAAAACTACTACCTACTTTTGACTATTTTGGAAGTCCACGCGCTTTACGTTGAAAAACATAAAAATAAAATTCCTCGTTATAAGTTGTACCAGTTGCGCCCTGTCAATGTGAAGACTCCCCGATACTCCGAATTAAGCTTTTTCCACATTTGTTAATTTTTCATTAACCCAAAAATCAATTCTCGAGATGATGTGCTGTAGTACAAAAATGAGCCTTGCTTGATAAATTAAACGTAAACGTGTTATTACGACATTAAATTGCCAAAATTCGATGTTGAAGGTTTTTTCATTTGTAGAAATTTATTGAAAAGGCAAGATGATAAAAAATGTTCAAAAGTTGAAAAGATGCTAAAACAGAAAATAAAAATAACAAGAATAAGAATTCAGAATTGGCATAGAAAGAAATCTCTGGAAAAGAATATTCAATGTATGTAATTAATGTAGGTATAGCTATATACATTTGAGTACAATTTAGAGGCTTTTCACTCTCGAGGTAAACATACAATAACACTATTTCCATTATTTCTGTATAATTAGAGGCTATCAGTTTTAGAAAACATGATATGGGAATCAGTGAAAAAAATACCTTCGAATAGGAACATTCATAATTTTGAGGGATTTGGTGAGAAATATTTTTGGCAAGCTGTACTAATACCTCGGAAGGGAAGAAAATACACAAAAAACAATAAAAATAACAGTAATTACGTAAAATTAATATAATTTAATGTAATTGAGTGTCACGAGAAATGTGTGTGATATTTTGCTGTGAGTTGTGATGTGTAACATCCGTAAAAATATAAATCTTCAAGAAAATCATTTTCATTATTATCTGCTAACAATATGTGGACACTCCTTAAAACATACTGAAAAAACTCAAAAAATGTTTCTTTACTTTGATGGAGTAGGTGACCTGAATTTTACTTAAGTAACTCAACAGCACTTTTAAGACATCCCAAATTTATTAACGTCCGTAACTAATAATAACAATAATAATAATAATAATAATAATAATAATAATAATAATAATAATAATAATAATAATAATAATGGCCAAGGCATATCACAGAAGTAGGGTGGCTCAATATGAAATTTGCCTTCAAGAGACCTTTATCAAACCCTGCACAGCGTTTTGATAAAGCTTAACGTTCACTATCCATATTATTGACTACTGTTCACTGTTACCCACTGTCTGTACTGACCATATTATTGTTCCACTTGTTGTCCACTGTCCACTGACTGCCCACTTCACAGTCCTCTGTCCATTTATTGTTCGCTGTAGTCCCTGTTGTCCGCACTCCTGACCTTACTTGTTACAGTAGTTCTGCATATTACCTTTACAATGTGTAAGACGTTTCCATAAACGTCTATATCTCGCTTTTCTTGATCACAGCTTGCCGGCTACAGCACTTGTTTCATCGCACCAGCGTGTTCTCTGATGACCCACTTTTCTTTTGCCAATTCTTGTGTCCCATATAGAAGCTCGATGTGCCCACCTTTTTGGATCCATACTCATTATGTGACTTGTCCATCTCCATTTGATCATCTTTGCCTCTCTGCCTACATCATTTATTTTTGTTCTATTGCGGAAATCTTCATTTCTTATTGTTTCTAAGCATTTTTCTTTCTATTTTTTGCCAATTTTTTATATAATTGTTTGTTTTGACGTTTAGAGACAATGTCTGAGCTCCTGATTAGTATAACTGGCAGTACGCAGGAATCGAATATCGCTTTCTTGTTCTTTATGGTGTTTTATTGTTCAGAATAAAATTTAGGCCCCACAATTTCTTCCAAGCTTTGCGATTCTAGTTTTTATTTTTTTCTTGTCTGTTTTCAAATCTGACTATTTGTCTCAGATATACTATGTATTAATTGATGTATTCAATGTTTAAAGCTTTTATTTTCATGGGGGAACGTGGATCGTTCGTCATTATTTTTGTTTTCTTGGCTTTAATTATTAGGTCAGTTTTTTGACATTCTTGTCACAGTTCATTCAACTTTGTTTCCAGTTTTACGGTTGATTTCGGCAAAATTATTATGTCATCTCCAAATCTTAAGTTTCTTAGTTTCTTTCCATCAATATTTAATACATAATTAGGTTTTACTTTTCTAAAGATTTCTTCTAGTAGGCTTATAAATAACAGTGGAGAGATTGGGTCGCCTCCGCGGACTCCTCTGCTTTGTTTAAACTTTCCCCCCTTTCTTTCTGTTTTTAGTGTCGTCCAACTGTCTGAATAAATTCTTTCTATTATTCTAACTATTTTGCTCAGGACAACTTGATTTAATAATGCTTGCAAGATGGGTAAGTGTTCAACAGAATCAAAGGCTTTTGTAAACTCGATGAATACCACATATACAGTTGAAGTAAACTCTTGTGTCGTTTCCAGAATTTGGTTCAGAGCTTGATGTTCTGCTGTTGAAAACTTTCTGGTGCAATTTTACGAATATAAATTGAAAATACGAAATTTTAGAAATAAAATCTCAGATTCTAAATTTTAAAAAAAACTTTGATTTTAATTCCAGTAACTGAAGAAAATTTCCAAAAGAGGACCGTATTTGTAAATTAGTATTATATTATTATTATTATTATTATTATATGAAAACAGAAAAGAAACTGATAACATAGCATATAATAATCAACTTCATTTTATATTTTGCTGTTAAAGTAATCTTATCCTGTATTGTAGCGAACAGTTACTGGAGTGTGTCCCTTATCCACATGAGTTTTTGTTTCCCATCCGTCTGTAGTCAACGCTAGCGCCTCAGCCGTTCACTCGGTTTTCTCCAAATTTGATATTCTCTTAACTGAACGAAGTCGAGGCCCTGCGAGTTTGAAATGGATATATTGATTTTCGGGTGTGCTTTATACGAAGCCTCGTTTACATTTTCAACATTTTCTAGAGAATGACTCCAAATATTTTGATTATTTTTTTCTCGTATACTCGTAGAGTAGAGAACGTTATGAAAATGGTGCATGTCTCGTTTTATTGAAATATCTGAATTTTCTAAATTTGCAAAAGTTTTACATTTTTTCGAGATCTTCGTACACGTACAGTATTAATGATAGTATTTTTTCTTAAATCAATTCTACTCTAAAACTCCCATTTTTGAATAAGGTACAACATTTTTCAAAATCTAGTAATTTTACTAATTTCTGCTTGAAGGTAATTCAATAAATACTTTTTTCTCAACTACAGCTCCAATTTTTTTTTACTTACATTTTCCTGTGAATAGATTAAATAACGCTCAAGACATGGTATCTTTCTTGTTGAACTCTGAATTTTCAAAGTTGCAAAATTTAGGAATGGTGCGAGAAAGTACGTGATGTAGCACAATTTTCTACAAGACATACTAGGTTGAGGTGGTGCTCAGTATATCCTATAACAATGCCCTGATCTGAAAACATTTCATATTTACCCAAAAAAATGTGGCCATATAGTCGGAATATGACTACTTTTACGTGAGACATATAAGAATTCAACTGTCCATAGCTTCGATAATTTCATCCAAAATAATTTTAGTTGATAAAAAATTAAACTTTGAAATCTCTACTTTAAGTATAGTGCTTCGCACACTTCAACCTTTTCCCTATAATCGTCCAACATTTGATCCGCGTACAGTCGGTACCACCACAGTTGTCTTATTGCTTTATTCACTATTAGTCTGCGCTTGACATTTTCTATTTTACAAAGCATACATACGGATAATCTGCACGATAACACTCGACCACATACAGCTTGGCTCACAACAGAGCTGCAGAAGTTCCGCTCGGTGGTGTTTGACCATCCATCCTACTTCCACATCTCTCCTCTCACGATTCCCGTCTTTCAATACATTTCAAGAAATTATTTTCCGGTTAGAATTATGTGTATCACTGGCTGAGTTGTTGGTGGCTGTCAAAGACGTGTACCTGTCTCAGACGGCAGATTTCTACAACATAGGAATACAAATGTTGTTCCCCCAGTATGGCGGCTGTCACAATTCTGGCGGTATCCGGGCATGAGATTTTAATAAATAGCGTAAATGTCTGATACCATAATAGAGTGATCATGCAAACCTAGTCCTATTCATATTTTGTTAAAAATAGTTACTGCGCGTAGAACTGTTTATCATGTACAATATTGAGCTTCACAGAATTCGGCCATGCTACACATGCCGCTAGTGTCAATATCCCAGGAAATGTCTTGTTAAATCTCAGTGTCTTTCTAGCGTGTCACTGGGTGTCTTCAAGGAGTACCACTATTGGCCATTGGGGAGTGACACACAATGAACCGTGCCTGCTTGAGTTGCATCGTGCCAATTTTATGAACTTTCCCTACCAGAAATAATATTTTATAATAATTGTATTTAGTTCTTTATTGGCCATTTTTTATTTCTATAATCGGAGACATTTTTTCTAATCAATTATGTTTCGATTTTACTCCGTTCTTGATTCCAACACAAACATGTTATTTGAGTTATCGTGGGTTTCCTGAAAACACGTACTTTGAGAGAATGGCAGTCAACTGAGGTACTATTTTTTCCGTTGACTCGCCCAATCTATGAGCTGCGTCGGAGGAGAGCACTGCTCATGTAGTGTGTGACAATTTAGTAATGCAATTGTATTGCGACTTACTTGCGATGCAACAAGTTTTTGAATCACGAGGTGTTGGGATTCTCCTAAGAAACATAAACATGTAAATGGAAACTATCTGTTTATGTAGAAATATAATTTAACTGTATTCTGAACATGGACTCAGCTGGTTAAGTACTGAAACTCGATTAATGTGAATTGTTACAAAAATGTTCGTCTAGTATAATTCATATAATTGTCTCTGGTATTATTGTGTGCAGGCTCGTTTTGTAACGAATATTTTACTTATTGCAATGGCAACTTTTAATTTCATTTGCATGATGCAACCTTACAAAATATTATTCAGTATTAGACGATAAGCATTCATTGCCTGCAATAGTGTGATATGTAATTATTTTAATTAATCCCTCCCTTCTTAACTTAATTCATCATCATAATTCTGTAATGGTATGGTCGCGTAACATCACAAAATATTAGTTCATATGCGAGAATTTGTTTATTGGAAACCTCTGAAAGAATATTTTTACTTAATCTGTTTAAAATGTAAGTTTTACACAGTTAACAAATCCAATCTTTTTTAATCAAGAATGAAATTAATTTCAAATTCAGTCAAGTCAAGTCCAATCCGTATTATTTTCCGGACTTATTATTACATAATCATTCGAGCTACCAAAAGAAAAGGTGTGTGTGTAGCTGTCCATGTCCACTTACATTTTCTGTCATGCATGCACAGGTAGTGATTATAAGAAAAAACAGTACAAAATGTGCTGCATCTGCTACATTAAAGTTTTCTGTCACCCATTGACCGATCAGGCGCATTGTTATTGGCTTGCGTGTGGCTATTGAGCGCGCCTTAATTTTCGTAGTAGCGATGTAAAATATGCCTCCGCCTGGTCTCCCGGCATGTACCGATATGTAGTTTGTGTATGTGTGTGTGTGTGTGTGTGTGTGTGTGTAAGAGTAGAGGGAGAAACAAGGATGAGGAAGGAATTATCGCGCGCGGTCCTTGCCTCATGTGTTGTTACTGCCCCAGCATTCACCTGAACTTGATGGGAAAAACACGAGAGCAGCCAATTTCTGGAAGTTTGCTCCAAATAGCTGCTCAATTCGCCCTAGCTTGGGTCGAAAATCCGCCACCGTCGGGACTCGAACCTTAGGAACTGGTCAGAGACGCTACAGCTGCAACATTTTTTACACTGAGCCACCCCCACCGGTGCGTCATTTTTTTATTGCCTCAACTGATAGGCAGATGATGATTAACTTTGTTTTGTAGAACTTAAATCTTTCACTAGAAAGCAACTCTTCGTTCAGGCATCTCTCGGCGGTTCTCGCATGACCTTAATTGTAATTAAATTTAACTATACAAAAATATCCGTCCGTAAATGGCTTTAAATTGTGTCGCTACCTCCTGGACGTACGTGCTTCTCCGTCTCTAAATATTACATTGTTTTCTCCTGGACAACTGATGAGGGTCCTTGAGATACATTTTAAGTGGACTACCTATTCTGTAGCCCGTTACCTGCTGCTCCACTGTGCCCTTCTTATGAAGTAGACGTTGCTCGTGAACTAATGTTGTTTTCCCTCCAACTGTAGAAATTAAGCCGATTCACTTCGTCCCGGGAAAAGGTTGTCGAACGTTTAACATTCAACTTCCTTTTTTTACATTTCGTACACATTAAACACATTATGTATTCATTAAGTATATTTCATGGACATTAAGTTCATACACAGTAAGTATGTTATGGAAATGAGTCGCTCATGTGATCACGTGGAGAACTCAGTGAATCATTGAAGTTTAATTGGATAAAAATTGATGAAATTCAACGTTCAAAAGGCCGTATTTTACCTTTCACTCCAGCAAACACATTTGCGTTGTAATTATTTTAAGTTTCACTAAAGCTTCATTAAAAAAATCAGTGATGCATTCCTCGATCGATTCGTCTGGAAATATGCCGCGGTATCATGTAACGCATTATGACCATTTAGAACCGATCTCCCAGTAGTAAGTTCCATACAATTAATGTCTCAATTACATCTTGCTTTAGAAATACTATAACTTGTTCGTTTTCTGTTTCAGCCTTATCTGGGTTAACGAATTCAACAGCAGGTATGTTAATTCCGATAATTTTACGTAATAAAATTTTAGCTTAGTCACATAGTTGTCATATATATTCTCCGTTTTTTCTTTGGATGACTCACATTTTCGAATATTTCTGTAGGCTTCTTCAGTAAAATATTTGTATCCTTTTTAATTCCACATCTTTGTAGATATTCACAGAATATAATAATAGTAGTTACGTGCGGTTATATTATTAAAGAATTTGTTAAAAATATTTCTTTAATTCTGAGAACCTTCCCCAAAATGGTCCCAACAAATATATGCTAATACACAGAAAGTTTAAGGATGTTCTATTCTAAATTCCTCATTCATGATCCGTAAGAACGAGTCAGTCGCTCGTTCAACCTTGATGGACTGCCATTTTTTTGTAGCTAATATTTCTACATGCCGAGTACGTGTAAGCAGAAACAGACATTAGCTGTCAATTTTATGTGTTGTCCCGACGTCATACATGATATTTTTAACATTGCGAAGTACTTAAGGGGTGGGTTGGATGCCTTGGATGATGTTGGTCTCACCCGAAATAATGCCAGCTCGAGAGATGTCGCCGGTAAAGGTGGCTCAGGGCATCGTGGTTCAGGACATCAACTTCTGTCACTGCACTTCCTCTGATCGGAAGGTCCTAGGGTTCAAGTCCCGACGGTGGCAGGATTTTCGATGCTAGCTAGATAGGTCGAATTCAGCTGCCTGGAGAAGAATACTAGTGACCGTATGCTCTGATCGGTAGTTTTCCGTGGATTCTCCGATCAACTCCGAACGAATACCATTGCAGTTCCTTAATAAACGGGTCATGGACCGTGAGCGATCAGTCCTTCCTCTTCCTTGCTCTTACCTCACCCCTTATGTACACACACACACACACGAGCACGCGCACGCGCTACACTACCATATATGTCGGGAGATTATAGCCGGTTCCGGCTGGAGTTGTGCCATGATGGTGCGGGATATCTTATTGCTGAAAATTCCGCCTGTCAACCAGCCCGGCCGCTCGCCCGCTTGCGACGTACTTTCCATAAAAATGGATTACGAATGCGTTGGTTTCGACAAAAATGGCTTCTAGTCCACAATCTCGACGTTAGGTGCATATTCTGGCCTTCGTTTTCTGTTCCAAAGGCGAGGCGAGATCAGACCTCTCCCGAAATCTCGGGACAATTCGTGAAACCATTTCATTACGATGCGGGATTCGGGAAAATTTCGATTTGTCCGGCGGTTTCTCTTCCGTTTCTGATAGCAGGTATGTACATTAACAGCGTGTTGGTATTTCGTTTTCAATTGAATTGTGTACGGTGGTGGCAGGTTGAGAAGTCTGTCTGCCTCGTAATATGGAGGTCGTTCGATAAGTAACTTGGTTTGCATACTAATAGATGACAAAAGCAACTACTGTGAATGTTAATTTAAAGCTACAATATACGGTAAAATTTCATTGTTGCAAGTCATTATCACTCTTGCTCATTGTTGGACAGCGACGTGAACAAAAGCGTTTGTGAGTCAGTGTTAAAGATGGATAGAACTGGAATTCGTGGGGCTATCCAATTCTTTTTTTATGGAAGGTAAAAACGCAAAAAAAAAAATCCATGAAAAAATAGCGCCTCCATAGGGTGATTCATGCCCTTCGTATGAGACGGTGAGACTTTGGGTCAACGAATTTAGCGAAGCAGGACAAGCATCGACGATGCCCCAAGACCTGGGGATCCAGAAACAGCTGTGACGTCAGAAAATATCGACAAAATCCATGATACTGTTTTAGCAGACAGACGAGCGAAAGTGCGCCAATGAGCAGAGGCCACAGGTATCTCAAATGACTGAGTGCATTTCATTTTATTTCAGGGTGCATCAACTACTAGGTCATTAGCGACCACTATTGCGTGTAACGGTGTGGTAACTATGAGGATGACACAATATGATGATGATAGGGGTGTGAAAGGACGAACACAATTCAACCATGCCCGAGGCGGGACTCGAACTCGCGATCCTTTGGTTCCAGATCGCTACGGCAGTACTGCCTTAGCGATCTCGGCCATCGGAACCGGCACATTTTATTTTGCATCATGAATTGAGCATGAATAAGCTTTGCGCAAGAAGGGTTCCGCAATTGCTGACTGCAGAGATAAACGAAATCGCATGACATCTGTCGAGTGTTTGCAGCTATTCAAGGAAAATTCAGCGGATTGTTTGCGTCGTTTTGTTACCATGGACGAAACTTGTATTCACCATTACACTCCAGAAAAAAGCAGCAGTCAAAACAATGGATTGAAGAGGAGAACCGGCTCTGAAGAAGGCGAAATGCAATCCATCTGCTGGGAAGTTGATGGCGTCCATTGTTTGGGATGCTAAAGTGATTCTTCTTATATACTACCTGGAAAAGGGAAAAACTATCACTGGGAAATACTCTGCATCACTTCTGGACAAATTCAAAGCAGCTATCGCGGATAAACGTGCTGGAATGGCAAGAAAAAAGTGTTGTTACATCACGATAACGCCCCAGCACATTCAAGCCATATTGCCCAGCAAAAATTCACTGAACTTCCTTTCCAACTGCTTCCACATCTTCATTTGGCCGCCTCGGACTTTCATTTGTTCCCAAAATTAAAAACTTTCCTGCTTGGACAAAAAATTGTCAGCAATGAAGAAGCCATCCAGATAGTCAATGACTATTTTGAGGGTCTTGAAAAAAATCACTTTCGAGAAGGGATTCTGAACCTGGACAAACGTTGGGTCAAGTGTGCTGAACTTCGAGAGGATTATGTCGAGAAATGAGGTAAGTTACAAAACCCAGAGCATTGTTTTTCATATCGGAACAAGTTACTTATCGAACGTCCCTCGTACAACAAACAACACTGCAAGAAGTACATAGTTGCACAGTGCGACGACGATACTGTAGAATACGCTAGTTTTCACGTGAGATTGGCGCAGTCGTATGAAAGAAATATAAGAAAGTTCATAAAACAGTAGTTTTTCCCAACTTTTGTGCTCTTTTTACTCCAGTACCCTAGTTAGCTGCTCACCACATGGCACATATGGTAATGCCTTTTTCTGGCCCAATACACTGGTCAGTCTACTGCTTCACAAAACGACTGGCGAAATGATCATCTCGAACTGCGCCCTTACAAATAAACTCAATATTTTAATGGATGAATATTATAGCTGCAAAATGCTGTTTGTTTGTGTCAGTAAATTAAATAAACAATATACAGGAGACTATTATCGTCTGTGTGTATATAAATAACAAGACACCTTCACACTGAAGATACGCCAAAAATAATTCGAGTATTTCAGTTTTATGAATTTCCATAAGCTTTGGTTAGAATTCATCGTTCATTACTATTCTGCAGCATCCTGTGGTTATAATTTGTAAAAAATAGTGCATTTTCAGTATATTGCTGTATATTTAATTGATGGAATGAATACGAAGGTCATTTCATAAATAATACACATGTTGGCAATACTGCCGGCTGAAGAACGCGACGCCACTGGTTGTTGCCTCTCTTTTAGTACAAAGTTTGAGGAAGAAGCTCGTGTCTCGGTTTCGTTAATAACTTGTTTCGTTATTTAACAAGGTCTTAGAAATTGAGCCTGCACAGGTCCCGGCTACTGTTAGTGTTGAGTATCAAAGATCGCAACTTAACGGGGTAAAACCAGACTGAAATCCAGCGCGCTTTAAGTGAAGTGTGATGTGTTTACTGTGGTCTGTAGCATTGTTTCTCGTTGAGCTAGGTGACACTTTGGTGAAGGTTGTGTGAGAAGAAACGGCAATGCAAGACCGAAAAGGCCCAGAACATCGACAGATGAACGAAGCGTGAAATTTGTGACAGTTGTTATCGAGAAAGACCGTCGTGCGACATTTGAAAATGTCTGAAGTCACAGTAATTTCAATAACGACCATATTTCGAATAATCTCGGATGATTAATACTGAATATGCACAAAACTCGACCTCTGTTTCTCGACCACTCTAGTCACTCATTCTCTACGACAACACACGGCTAAATTCGAAACAGAAAATTTCCATGAATGTGGTTGTTACAACATGCACCCTACAGTCCTGACATGAGTCCACCAGACATTGACTAATGCGAAAATTGAAACAACTGCGGGGATGTATTTTTATCCCTTGATTAGCTTTCTGCAGCCGGTACCTGATCCATTTGTCTGATGACCAAAGAATGGGATGTTTAATGGAATTCAAAAGCTCCGACTCGTTGGGACTTGGTAAATGAGAAAATTAGAGACTACGTTGACGGATTGTAAAGAGATTTTCACAAAAAAAATAAACATATAAGAAAATATAAGGTACTGTACATCATTTATAAAATGTCCCTCGTAATACACATAAATACTTGATACTAATAACGTGCTCTGGTGTGCGGCAAGCGATGTTTACTTTACTCGACATTTTTATCAAAAAATCGGAGAAACGAAATAACGTCCAGCCCCGTGGGCAGTAACCGCAACGTTGTCTGCTGTGACGCAGCTGTCGATTTGAATTTCGTGTCTGGGAGTAACGTTTATTCTCAATTTTCTCGAATACTTTCTTTGGAAGAACTGAATCTCTAGTCTTCATGATCTCCAATAGAGAATAGGGTATTTATTTGTATTGACAACTTCCAAACACCTGTATATGTACTGTAGTAGAACGCGCCGGTGAACACGCGTTGAGAGCCAAATGTAATGCAGCGCGCTTATGAATGCACGTTGGGCCAAATGTAATGGGCCGAGCACCTTAACACTCGTGGCGAAGCACAGTTTGCATTCCCTGATTTGTGTGTGTGTGGGGGGGGGGGAGCCGCCAAGTTTGATTCAAACTTGCTTCTTTGGAGGTCGGCTTTTGAGGTTCTCAGCAGTAGACTGCTCTGGATCCGGAGAAAGATGCAAGGTTTCCACTTATTCTTTCTTTAGTGATACATGAAACAACTTTCCTTTTACAGCAATAAATGACTTGTGAAATGACTATTGTCAGAGCTTTCTGTCCGGTGAATTCGATAGTCTGTTAATGCCCAGAGCTACTACTGATTGGTCCGGTGCATTACCTTCATCGGTGATTGCGACGCCACGGCATTTAAACGCCGACAGGATTTTGGCGGAGGTGGTCTGGTACCTAGGAGCGTTAGATGGCGCCCCTTCGCTGCACACGGCGGCGAAGAAACCGCGTTCCCCGTTTTGCGTGATTGGTGAAGTACAAGTGCCTCGTTTATCCGAGAATGACCGTCACACGCCACCTTCTCGCCCTGTTGCGATGAGTATCGCGTTATGCTGCCGTTTTAAAGTTTGACAGTAGCTCCTGATAATAAATAAAATATCACTGGAGATCTGTGCTTGAAGTGAGCCGTTATAAGTTATTGTCGCAATATTTTGCGTTGGAAGTCTATGAAATTTGTAACTGAAGAAAACTTGTGTCCGTAGTCTGTGAAGTTGATGGCCGAAGTAAGTTTTCATCCTATGCACGATGCTTCCCCGTGGAAAATCTCCTCTCCTTTCTTACGCGTCGTCTTCTGATCGCCGAATTGCCTCGCTATTTGTGGAATTTGGATCTTCGAGAAAGTTCCAGAATCTACCGAATGACTATTGTCTTACAGCGCACTTCCCTCGTTTGACCCGCGTGTACAAACAAAATGTCTTCTTGACGTGGGTCAGCTACTACGCACGCGGAGTTTCAGCTCTCGTAATGCTTTCGGTAAAGAACTGTGACTTTTTTTTAGGGTGAGATGGACCTGCGATGGGAGGCTGTCGACATGGGGCATGGGCGATATTTATGACCCCTTAACTTAACAGACAGAACCTTCGCGGCGGGAAGGGCCAGTTGCGTGGCTAATTGAAAGGGCTGGAGTGGAGTGCTCGGGATTGGAAGAGCGGTGGCGCGGGCGAGCCGCGACGCATTTCAGTACACACACACACACATAGGCGAGTAATTTCATATGTAAACCACTTGAAATTTTCATATATTTCTAATAGATAATTCATTATCCAGTTTGCCCTCAGACGCATAGATTTTCGTAGAGTTGTTTTTGTTATTTTTCTATTTCGTCGCAGCCTGTATGTCACCGTGCGCATTTCTAAGACTCGAAGCGGTGTTATAGACTCGGCAGGTTATTAGCGTTATTTCTGGACACCATGTGCACCACATATCAGACTGTCTGCCGGCGAGGAAGGTTCTGATAAGTCATAATCGGGCGGAGTCGCTGGGGCACGCGCATTGGACTGACGTAATTTACACCTCAATTCCATCGATTCAAAAATTTGCTTTTTTTATTTGTGCGCGAGAAAAGTAGACTTTTGTAATACACCTAAGCTCAGATTTTCGACTTACTCAAAGCACAACCTTCTGGACGTTATAGAAAAAGACAAATAGCCAAGAATCTGCTGCGCAAGAACTGAAAATTTCTCAGCAAAAGGACATTAAATATTTGTACATAGAGAAGACAGTGTGTGTTTACCTCCTGAAATGGCTCACCCACACTTTATATGCAGCTAAATTACCTTGCGTTGCACGGAAATGTATTAATCATAAATCGTTTATTAAGAAAAGAAATGAGTTTTTTGTATGTTGTATCCCCGCCTTACCCCGCCCTGCCAGTATTCATTTTGACCTGCAAATACTCCGAGCTTAATATCGCTGATGAATTAATATGCATTTAGTAGGAATATGTATTGGTTTTAAGATACCATAATATTGGTTATTTAGCCAATTCTTCGAGATATTGTCGAAATATTGAAAAAGTGCTCGCTTAAATTTTGCTCCAAAGAGGGTAATTTTTACGAAGTCCCATGCTGTCTGTAACCTGCTTTAAAGATCACGTGTACAACATTGCATTAAGATAAGAATAGAATTGAAAAATTTGTACAAAAAAAAACAAACAAAAATATTCATATTTATATAAGAAAGTAATTTGAGAAAAGTAATCTAATTTATACCCACAAACCATCTACATTTCAGTGAAAACTGTTACATTCAAAATATCCGTTAAACACTAGTCGCAAACCAATCAAAATTACTACAAAAACGTGTCTAACAAATGACAATATGTATATCATTAGATCCGCCTTTTTACGCTCGTCTTGATAGTCTAAAAAAATATGTATAATTCTATTTGATAAAACAAAGTTTACTCAAATCTCGTAAAATACAAGTGATAAAATAGATATGAAAACACGTAATAATTAGTGCTATACCCTTATGCTCTTTCGTGCAAACTGCATTGCAATAACTTCAAAATTTACAGAAGCCTAAGATATATATATATACTTATATATATATGATATATATATATATATATATTATATATATATATATATATGCAACGAATTGTGCAAGTTGGGTCTGTCCGAAGCATTTGGCAGCACTGAACTCACTTCTTCTTCTTTGGCGCAACTTTAAATTGTCACTGGTGTACACATAGAAAAGATGTTAAAAATGGCCTCCTTCTTTGATGCACAAACTCAGTCCGTCGTAATATGGAAGCCGTTACTCACTTATACTTTCCGGTTACTCCCGATTTCTTCAAGAACATCATAAATTCGCGTTACAAGAGCAGCTCTATGAGAGCGTAGGCTTCCGCGGCCGGAGTCATTATTTACTTGGCTGTCCGGGTGAAACCGCGTCCATGGCGAAGGTGCCGACGTATGGCGACCGAAACGTCGGCACCTTCGCCATGGACGCGGCGTCACCCGGAGAGCCAAGTAAATAAGAGCAGCTCTGTTGTCAAAATTTTGCGTGTATACTACACTATTTAAATTTCCGCAAAATAAAAAACAATTGGAATAAGATCGGGAGATCTTGCTGGTCAGTTTTGAGGTTCACCACAAACTGCCCATCTTCCTGGACAATTCATATGAAGATAGTTTTGTACATTTGTTTTTAAATGTGGCCGTGCTGAAAATAAATCGAGGAACGCAGCGGGAGAGACACACCATCTACACCTTTTCAACTTCAAATTGAGAAGAAACACAATCAAATTGATACCAAACAATACCATATTGAGAATTCGCATATTCATTTTGAGACCAGTCACTTTCAAATTGAGACTAAACAATTTCAATCTGAGAAAAAACAATGACAAATCTGTTATTATTTTAATATTGATTGTATAACCAGTTGTGTTTTCCGAGTGATCAAAACGTGAGAATTACATGCCGTACATAAAGAAATTGGAAGCTGAAAGTGTAAAACAGTTCGTATTAAGCTGATTTTGTAATGTAAGTTATTAAAATGTTAATTAAGTTGGTTCTGATGAATATGTTCACAATTTCTTCATTTATTGTATTTATTTACATTATTTGGACTCAAATTTGCAATTTACAACGTAACTTCAGATAGATTTCAATATGAAATTGCTTAGTCTCAATTTGAAGATAATAGGTTTCATTATGAATGTGTTTAGTCTCAATTCGATTCTTTTCATTCCCAATTTGAAATTTTGTTTCTCAATTTGAGGTTGCAAAGATATAGATGAGAAGGTACTTCATGTTCTAAGAACATCAAATACGTGTCTCAGTTAACGTTCCGTCAAAGGAGTGAGGACGTATAATTTGATTTCCAGCAATTCCGCACCACACATTCAAGGAAAATTCTACTTGGAATTGCCTCTCACGTGTTGCATGTGGATTAGAAGGAGCCCTAAATGGCTATTTCTATAAATTAATTATTCCACTTCTGGTGAACTGTGCCTCGTCTGTAAATAATACCTGCATGCAGATATCAGGTCTTTCAAGAAGCCAGGTACCAAACTACACACGCGGCGGAAAATGTTTAACGATACTTGATTGTGAAGGAATTTTCACAATGAAGGATCGTATCACTGCACTCTTCGCAACACACAACCGAGAAGATACTCTTATTACACTGTTTTATGAATTTTCTTCAACTTCTACCACAAGGTCACTTGCTTGTTCCGTAGCTCGAGAAAGGCCGCCTTCGGAGGTCGTAGATAATGAACCAGTTTCTCGCAACTTCCTGGAGGTATTAATAAATACGCTTTTATGCGGTACATTACGATTAGAAAATTGTCTGTGATATTCACGTACCGGTCTTTCCCAATGCCGTCACAAGAACCGTACAGATAAATTATGTCTGCGTATTCCTTGTCGCTGTAACTTCGCGGAATATTCATGCGAAGTTCACGTTGCTGTAGTCAAAAGTAGACTGATATTCGACATATTCTACACTGTTTCAGAGTTCCTCAAAATGAACCCCAGTGGCGCGCTGATTATTGTGTCGCATTCGAATCTTTCACCGAATCCAACCGCTTCACTTCTACAGTGCACAAAATTAACCAGTTTTGACGAAAAGTTTTAGAGTTTCGACGTTTAGAGAGAGAGGGGGGGAGAGAGACATGACGTGCGGATGGTCTTTGAATTGGACCAAGTAGCTATGACTCGTGCCACCGGGAGCTTTCGCCTCTCGATAAATCGATATAATTTCAATAAAAATTACCAATCTTCTTTATTCTTGCAAAGTATGTTTAATTCTTAAAACATTATTAATAACATTACCAACAAATTAATAAAAACCATGCAGCAGTATTACAGTTGCGCATTTACGTCTTCATTTTCTTTTCAGACGCAAAATGGGATTAGAAACTTGTAAAACCATATTAGGGGATAAAGTATCATTGGAAAGACTAGTCGTGTGGCTTTTTTCTAAAGAAATATAGTTAAAAGACAAGGACGTGTTTCTGTCGAGGTCGCTTTAATGAAAGTGCGAAAAAGAAGTTTTCGAAACAAAATCTCTCGGGAATACAAGTTTTCAATATTTTGTCGATTACCTAATTTCCGTAACTTTTCAATCAGAAGTGCCGAGCCCCAACCGAAGATGTATTTATGGGATTTTCTTTTAAGAATAATGGAACTGCTGGGGATTGGAGGGGAGAGATTGTTATTTCCTTCTTGCATAAGCAGTATTACAGTATTTGTAATATCGTACCACAAAACTTGACTTTCCTCGACATCACTTAGACCTGTCCTCGGTGCTTCAACGTACTTTAAGCACAGCCTTTTGAACATTACAGAAGAAGAGAGATAGTCAAGAAACTGCTGCCTAAAAACCAAGCGTTTCTCAGCAAAATGACGTGAACAGTTGCTTATCTAATTTATAAGACGATGATGTACTTTTACCAGATAGAAATACACAAACGTGTGTATCATATATATTACACATACAAGGGTAGGGATATAAGACATGGCAACGTTTGTTTTGAGAGATTATAAGCTCTGGTGAAATATACACATGAAAATTAAAGGTATGAACTTGGTGCATGAACATTTAACGTTGCACCAAAATTGTGTTTCTCACATTCATTAAGACATTTGAAATGACAGTCCGGTTATCATGTTCGAAAGCATTTTAGCATTTGTATGAGTTCACGACATTCCAAAACAATTTCATCTCCTTTCTAAAGCCCCGATGAAGCAGTTGCTCGCACACGCCACATCGATCCGCGTACAGTTCGTCCTGTGCGTCGCTAGTCGCTGGTCACTGGTTGCTACGCGTCTTGGAAGAACTGTCCTGCATATACATACATACATACATACATACATACACACACGAGGGATGGGGTTGGATCGCAGTAAAACTTTCTCAATGCATAAATCCAATGTGAACATGAATCGTGGTCCTCCGAAACATAAGTTCTACTGTATTACATTGTGTAAAGCGGAATCTTGTCTAATACTGAAAAACCACCGGTCGCTTGAGGTTCCGCATTGAGCAAGTTTTACTATATATAATGATAAAACTTATATACATTCATACACGTGACTACGGGTTGTTTTTGAATTGAATCAAGTATCGACTCGTGCCACATCGATTATTATTTGTGATAGTTGTGAATCAAGTATCGGCAACTCGTGCCACAAATCGATTATTGGATATTTATTATTTGTGATCAATTTAATTAATATTCACGGGGCGTGATGTGCCCATGTGAGTACAATATTCACTTCATTCCATTGAAAATTTGCATTTTTCAAAACTTATCTTTGTTTTATAAATTAATAAATACTTACGTTGAAATCCTTTGTTTTTCTCTGTGTGTATTTTTAAGGGTCAATAACCGGTCAGACGTCAGGGGGAAGTTCCCTAAGTCCTGTCACCAGTATGGCATTGGGAGGACTGACAGGCTCACCACTCAATACAATGGCTTCCATCAATGGTCTGGGTACTGCGGGAATTGCACACAATGGTACTAGTCTTGAAGCCTTAACGTCAGCTTACTCAGGCATTCAACAGTACACAGGTAACGACTTAATTTTAATATTTTGAAATTCAGGAGTTATGTTGCTGTTAGAAAAGGAAGTTAATGTAGACCTTAAACATGGCATTCTTCAAGATATAGTAATAAAGTATCATATAAGGCATATATCAATTTAATTAATATTCACGAGTACGTTTCAACAGAATTTTTTTTTAATTTACGTACATTGCGTTTAATAATATTTAACGAATTTGTTAATGGAATCTGGTTAAATCTATTGTTTTCTGTCATCTCATTATAAATTAGTTTTATACATGCATATGAGTATATACATATGTGACTAAATATGTATAATGGTGACTAGGGAAACTTAAATTCACAATTAGAATGTTTTAAAAATATTTGTTTCTATGATGCATCATATTAATGATTAGACTACACTTTCGAACGTATTTTAAACCAATTTTCAGGTTTTTTGTTATTACAATAGTGTAGAAATTTTTTTTTTCATTCAGTTATTATGCTGATGTCTCCATATGTTTGGAGAGACTTGATCAATATTTGAAACGTGAACTTAAAAAAAAAAAAATTGAACACGTCATAGGTTTAGAGTCGTCTTAATTGAATTTAATTAAAAATAATCTAAAACCACCTTGAAAATATGAAAGAGCATTTAAATGTAAATAATAATAATAATAATAATAATAATAATAATAATAATAACTTCAAGCATGCACGTGCTTTCCGTTTCGCAATGATGCCAAAACATCTGATAAATATGATATTCTAAGCAATTGATATATTGACTTTCGTTTATACGCAAAATTTGTAAAATCTTTATTTTAATATGAATCATTGGTTTTTGGGGGCATCTTCATTCCCCCACCCCTTGGGTCTGCCTCTGACAATGTACAAATTTAGTCTATGAGGTTAAAAGTAATTTTGCAGAGACTGGTAAAATATTGAATTACAATATACTGTACAAACTAAATGAACTAATCTTCCAGTTGTGATTGTCAAATAAAACTGATCAATGATGTAATTAAAATGTGTAACTTCCGTTTCTTCGTAAAGCGCTAAATGACAGAACTTAAATTTTTCTTTACGGTTATCTACATCCTCATAAGAAAGTTTATAACTTGTAAAAAACCAAACTTGCAATCCATATTTATCAACAATTTAAGTTCATCATTAATTTCACTCTGCAAACTGTCTACCGTGTTTTTCATTTCATTTTACCTAGATCTCGAAGCATTTTCTTGTTCTTCTACTTCTTTTTCTTCTTCTTCTTCTTCTTCTTTTTCTTCTTCTTCTTCTTCTTCTTCCTCCTCCTCTTCTTCTTCTTCTTCTTCCTCTTCTTCTTCTTCTTCTTGAAATGATGTTCTTCCATTTCGATATATCAATCCTTTTACAAATATTTCCTTATTTTCCTTTATCTATATATTTACGAATCCATCTCGTTCTGTGTGAAAGACCAAATACACCCACCCCCAAAACTACTTGAACTCCCCGAATTTCACCTTCCTTAGAATCCAGTTTTCTTCTCTATTAGAAAACGTTTTTGGGGGCTCCCCTCGAGGGTGTAGCTCGATTCTGTTTTCCTTATTGAATCCTCATAATGTTGAATATTAATCGTACCATTCATCATTAACATTTGAGCATTTTTTCGGCAGCTATTACCTTTCGTTTGGTGAATTATAACCAGCTGACATTCGAAAGTACTGTTTCTCCCTCCGCGACTCGTGTTACTCCTTTGCAGATGCCCGTAAAGTTAGCATACCCACATATCACTAAATTGAAAAACAGTATTCCAGAATTTTGTTCCAATTATGAACTAATTTATACCCCAATTTAAAAATTTTGAAACGATGCGCAACATCAAAATATTCAATACTAAAGAGTGGCTACGCTAACTTAATATAAAGTTAGCATACCCACACAAGCAATCTGCATCTTCTTCCGTACATTTTCACTTCTAATCTTGTTCTCAAAGAGCATCATTTCATCGCCGAAAAAATCTCACTTCTGCGTTTTGACTTCATTTAATATTATCTTTACGAGAGAGAACAAATCGTATTTCCGTTTAGAAGTACTGGCACTGCTTGTTTTAGGATTATGTGAATTGTCTCACAAATGTGTCTAAATCCATTAAGTTAATTTTTCAAGTTCATCGGAGATAAATACTTCACATCCCGGGTAATTTAAACTAGGCGCTTGCTCTAAAGCACGCCCACATTATTATTTTTGATTTGACAGGATGTTATTCATAAAACCCATCATATTGGTCTTGTTTATAGATATTTCCAAGTTGCATTCTTCACATATATTTTGTAATTTATACATCCCTCTTTGTATCGTCTTCAGTCTTCTGAACCATAACCACATCCACCACATGCGCTAAAGGTTGAGTATAATTCGGGCGGCGTTCAGTTGAATTCCGAGTTCAAAGCTTGTCTTCATCTGTGAACAATATCAAGGTATAAAATAGATGTTAGAGGAATATAACATCCCTGGCTAACTCCTTTTAATTTGTTTTAACTTTAACATTTTTCCAGTGCCAGTAATAACTGCCGTAAAAACTTTTCACTGCATTAATAAGATGAAAACGTAAACGTTTAATAAGTATGTTCCATAATTTAGGGCTCCCTACACTGTCATAAGCCATTTCAAAATTTACCTTACAGTTATTTAAATTATGTTAATTAAATACCTGATATGCTTCCAAGTTAAATTCATTCCCTTTTTCTAGCGTATGTTTTATTGTCAGTACAGCATTTGTTGTGAAGCAAAACACCATTGCATCTTAACTTATGAGGCAATCAGCTGTTATCTTCTTCTTTATCGTCCGCGGGAATTATTGTGAGATTTCGTCTTTCGTGTTTCAGATGTATACTTGTGATCCTGTCTGAGACGTATTCGTAACTTTCAATCATATTTTCTAATTTGTTATACTGCCTGACAAGAAAAGTGTTGCTCCCAGGGGTGGTCCAATATGATCCCGTTTCGGCATTCACACCAGATTTCATTCGTGATGTCACCCCCTGTTGTTGCGGACTTATCAGTCAACTGCTGTAAGTCAGTGAAGAACGAGTTAACGTGCAGTAAGAAGCACCTGCGATGCCGTGCAGACGCGTTGTACACCGCCTACCCAGCAATTTACTGCATTTGACAAATGCCGCGTTGTGGGACTTCATGAGGCTGGTTGGTCGTATCGTGCAATTGCCAGGCATGTGGGCCATTCAGATGTCACAGTGGCCCGATATTGGAATCAATGGGTCAATGAGGACACCCATTCACATGCAGGATCGGGTCGAGGGAGGACCGTCGTATGGTACGCCAAACAGGTGCGGAATCCCATGACGTCGACATCAGCCATCAGCGAACATGTACTGGCGACTCTACAAAAGCCTGTGGGTCGACGACTCGCAACCGCCGGATTGAGATCTCACCGTCCCATTGACACCAGAACACCGACGTCGGCGTTTGGATGGGTGCCGTGCCAGGGAAGCATGGACAGGACGAATGGCGCATTCAGTCATTCGAAATCACATTCAGTGGTGAGTCCCGCGTCGCCATAACCTCCGACGACCATCGTGTTCGAGTGTGGCGGCGTTAAGGGCAGTGGGCGTATCATGCCCATATGGCGAAGAGACACGTAACCCCAGGGGCATGGTGTAAGGAGCCATCGGGTATGCGTTCAAGTCACCTCTAATAGTGCTTTGGCAGATTTTGACGTTACACACAATTCTGCGTCTGCACGTCCTATCCCTTATGGTACAGCACCTTGATTCAGTGTTCCAACAAGATAATGCACGCCAGCATATAGTTCGTGTGTCTAGGGACTACCTATAGCATGTTGCGGTCTTTGGCCAGCAAGATCCTCGGACCGCTCCATCATTAAACCCTTGTGGGATGACTTTGGAAGGGGCGTCGCAGTACGATCTTGCCTCAAGAGAGGGTCCAAAGGCTGTTTACCACCATTCCAGAACCGCATAAGGGAATACATTGCTGTCAGAGGAGGTGCGTCACCCTTTTGACCTGGTGCCTACTCTCCACCTGTAACTGCCAACGGCCCTCTCTCTTTCGTTCCATATTTAATCAGTTCAGTAAAGTCACATGGTCTTTCAGCATACGTATTTTCATTTACTTCCTACCACTCCTTCTGCGTGCTTAACTTTCTTTCTCAGGCAATGTATTTCCGAAAATATGTACACCCCTACTGGAACGTTGTTGCCGTTGTTGCTTCTGAAGGACGTTATATAATCTTACACACATTTACTATCTTGAAGTTTCTTCTTTGCTTCAGAGGTGACCGCCTCATTCACATTGCTATATTTCAACACGCTTGCCAATCACTTTCCAAACCTGTCAGAGATCTAGCATTACAAGCACTTAAGTAATGGACTGCGGAAAAAATAATTTATGTTTATTTCGAACCGTGTTGTCATTAAATCCATTTCCGAGGCTGTTTTGGCTTCTGCGAGTAATTAATTAAATCCTCTGGCCACGTTACGAACTCTGTGCGTGAATTCAGCTTGATGGGATTCCCATCGTACTAATTCCAAGCCTGTAGGGTTGTTTATTCGATATACCGCTCTAGATTCTTCCGCTCCCTCTGCTAAATGTAACTCATCCACATTGCATTTGATACCTTATCTCACGTTGGAAGCCGCCCAAAACTGAAATAAATTTCAAGATGCTGCAGCCTCTGTAGGATTCTGCCTCGTTTGCTAAGTATTAGATCCCATAACCTTTTCAGTTACAAAAAGCTCATAAACCAAGGCATGCTTGCAAAGCGGATCTGTACCAATTTCCGTCTTTTTTTATTTGTCTGAAGTAAGATTTTTAAGTACTAAAGATATATCAACTAACTGCTTACTATTTTCATAGCATGTGATTCGGCGCTCAATCTAGTTTCGTTATTGGATTTCACAACCAAAGGTACTGCAATCTTTAAATGCTGCCAGCACTTCGTGTGCCTAACGAAGGGCGAATAGTAGTTCTCTATACACTCTTACTGTAAATTACGTAGATTTGCACAA